ACCTGAGGACGCCTTGGCGCGCGCGCACTCACACTCGCGCGCACACACAGGCACACGCGGGGGGCGAGCTGGAGCTTGGCAGACGGTCCTCCTTCCTTTCCTACCCAAAGAAGCTGCCCACGTTCACTCTGGCAAACTGCTGTTCTTCTGTATTGGACGACTCACCCCGGCGCCCCCCACCTTAACCAATTCATCCCCGGTGCCCTCACCCCTGGGCCACAATCACACCTGCGTCTCCGCCGGGGCTGCAGAAATGGGTGGAGGAGGTGGAAGCTCTTCGCTTGCCCACCCCTACACTCTAGGGAGGCACGTTTTGGGCCACTGCCCGTCAACCCCCAAGGTCAAATAGATTTGATGAGAGGAAGAGGGCGCTTGGACACAGGTGTAAGCTAGAAATCTTAAAGACTATCTGAAACCTGCAGGGCGCTGACCTCTGTCAAGTCCATTCGCAGACAGACCCCTTTTTTCTCTTCTGCCCCGTGCCTGGAGGACAACATAGTTGCTTAAGAGTCTCCAGTCCCCTTCCTCGTCCCCACCCGCCTACCTCTCATGTGCCCAGAAGCTGACAGAATGCACCGTGAAGCGAAGGTTTGTGTTGCAAGTAAAAATGAAAATAAAAAATAACAAGATGGTTCTCAGACTGTCCCACAGACAAAGTCAGAAGCCTGCCCGTTCCTTTCTGCTCCTCCCTGAGAGTGCCAAGGCAGAAGGGACACCCACCTGGCGGGAGCAGGATGCTCTTTCCTTACAGCACTCTTCTTTCCAGGGCCTCCCGTGTCTTGCCTGCTCTAGGTGGCAGAATGACTGCTCACCAGCTCAAACGACTCCAATTCGCAGAATCAAAGAAAAGCTACAGCATAACAATTCTTACACCAATCGGAAACAAAGCAGGCAATACTGCCACGAGCATCTCAAGCAAACAGCTCGGCCATCACCTCTCTGCTGGCTGGTATAGCTGCCGAGGAAGTGTGGACACTGGCACTGCCAACCAGTGGCACAAGTTCATCAGCGTCCCCTCCTTATCTGCGCTCCCTGGTGTGCAGCCTGGGAGTGATTCCTGAGTCCCCACAGTGCTCCTTGTATCACACCTTTGTCGTTTAGTATTTGCTACCCTGTATTATTACTACTTTTTCTTGTACCAGCCCTACTCCCCAAGTTATCTAATAACCTTTTGAGCCACTGGCTGAGTCTTCTGGACATAGTTCAGAGATGTGCATAGAAGGCATTTCCAGGGGTTTCCATGAGGGATCGTGGGCAGATGAAATGAGAGAGTGGGTGGGTCTCAGGATGATCTTTCCCTCTGATCTCTTAGTTTGGATGAAAGCTGCATCTTCTAACAATCTGTTGCTTACGTACGCAATTGTTTGTCGCTTTCTGGATGACAACTGTGTCACCAAACCCCCTTGCAAGTCTATATACACACATGGTAGAATGTGAAGGTCACCATTTAACCAGGGTGGGACACATCTGGCAGAAGCTCTCTGCTCTCACTTACTGCCTGTGTGAATTTGGGCAAGTTGTTTGTTCTCTCTAAATCTCAACTGTCCTCATCTGTAAAATGGGAATAATTATGGTATTTAACCCCCATGGTTGTTGTGATTCAGTGTGACAACATGAATAGCAGTTCCCTCAGCTAACTCAGTTCCAGGCATAATGTAAGCTTTCAATAAATGTTGGCATTATTGGTGAGTAATTGACACATATCAAAGAGATTACCTGGGCGGGGCGGGGGGGGGGAGGGGGGGGGTCAAGGATACTAACCTCAAGAGACCTCAAGAACTAGAGAAGCCAGGTGTCAAACTTTGGTGAGAATGCCAAATCGAGTTTCCTGGTCCTCACCAAATATGATGATTTTGAGACTTCCATGTTAAGGGAGTTGCAGATTCACGGGCCCTGGTATTCTTGCTCTAACTTTTATTCTTTGTTCAATATACATTGATTAAGGGTCAAAATGCGTCAACTCCTTCTTATTAAAATGCCAAAGACAATCTTGTACCAATTGTAAGAATGGAAGCTCAAGTCATCATAAAACAAAATGGGGGGTGTCCCTTTATTATACATTTGCAGCTGGATTTAGCATAAGTAGTCTCTCCAACCCAGAAAAATTCAGCCCTCCATAAGACAGCTAGAAATTAACTTTGTTCAACCACCTGCCTCTAGCTTTGGGACTCAGAGGTACACAAATCAGACACCTGGACAAACTGCTACCTCACCACACGGTAATAATTTTCTGGCATGGCCAAAGTCATTCCTGCCTCTGCCTCTTCTGTTCCCCTAACCTTCATTCTTTTGTTTTGCCTTCAGTAAATAAATCTACTTCCAAGACAGCCAAGGGTAGAGAGTGATGAAGTGGTGTGTTATATTCTGAACAGAAATAGGCAGAAAAAGAAAAATCATGTGGGCAAGCATATGTGAGAGAGTGACGTTTTTCATGTAGCCCACTAAATACAGAGTATAGAATGCTTTGAGTTCTTTCCAATACACATTCTCTACTTTGAGACAAGAGGTTTAGAATGTTGTTAGGCAGCAACAGATAACCAGAACAAAATTTGGTATCTGGAAGTAGAGTGCTGCTGTAACAAAAACTTCAAACATGGTTTTGGGATTGGACACTGGGGAAAAGCTAGAAGTTTCTTGAAAGCTGCAAGATAACAGAAGACTCTTGGAGGGGACTTGAAGAACACCAAGAAAACTGTTCATGGAAGCTGGAGAAAAGAGCACCTGGCTCACATACTGGTAGGACAGTTAGCAAAACTGTTGCCTCTCATGATGGGACAAATGAAAAGGATACCTCATGAACTCATGGATCTGACTGGGGAGAGTTCCAGGATGAATGAGAAAGTGCAAACTGTGTTTTTCTAGTTGCCTATGCTAAAAGACAAGTGGAGATGTGTTAAAGAAGAAACTTCTTTGTTGTTTTTTTAGTAGAACTTAGAGGAAATAGAGAGAACCAGGACTTTATGGGTTAGAAAGGATAACTTTCTCATTCTAGTATCTCCAAACAAAACCTTCAAACCCAGAGCAGTAACATGGGATCTCTGTGTAAAGATGAAGCTGTCGGATCCTTTGTTAAGACTTCACACATATTTGAGAGCATGCCCAAAAGGGCTTCCAAGGAATTTAGAGACATAGTCCCTCAGCAGCCTCATGGGAGCTAAAGATACAGAAGGGCCTATTCTTAAAGAGATTTGTAAGTATGGCTTTTGTCTAATGAGGGGATTATAATTTGAATTACAGGCTGCCTTCAATGTTTTTAAAGAAAGTATACTAGTTTGGGAGTGAAGGGACAAAGACAGTACAAAATGAAAGGAGGCCTTCGAATCCCCAATCTAAGAGGCAATAAACAGGCTGCGAACAGGGGCCGTTTCTAATGGGAGAGGGTGAATGACTCAGATAGTGGAACCAAGAGCCCAAAAGGTGATGCCAAGAATCATTCCCAAGAAGCAGGACTAGGCCCTAATTAAGGAACTGATGACATTTCCAAGATGGATTTCAAAATTGCTATGAACCAGTGACTGCTACAAGAAATACCACCCATACCCTCCATTACTGAATAGGGTGTCTAATATGGTTATTATATTTTTGCTTCACTGGTGTATGTTGGGTGTTTAAGGAAGAGGAGGGAGGAGATAAATCATCTCTTTAGCTTACAGACCTTCATATTGAGAAGAATTTTACCCAGGGAGACTCATCCCCTGAACCTGCTTTAGATGAGCAGATCCAGGACCTCAAGCCTGAGCCTGGTTCCACAAGGAGATGAGAATTTTTTAGGTTTTTGGGTGTTTCTGTGTTTGTTTCCATGTTAGAAGAATGTAAATAACTTTTTTACTATGATGAATTAAATATGGCCACAAGCCCTGGCAAGTGTTGCTAAGTGGTTAGAGCACCAGCCTACACACCTAAGGGTAGTAGGTTTGGTTCCCAGTCAAGGGCACATACCTGGGTTGCAGGTTTGATCCCTGGCCCTGGTCAGGACATGTGTAGGAGACGACCAATCGATGTGTGTGAGTGAGTGTGTGTCTCTCTCTCCCTCCCTCTCTCCTTTCACTCTCTCTAAAAAACCAAAGGAAAAAATATCCTTGGGTGACGATAAACAAATATATATATACTAGAGGCCCAGTGCACAGATTCGTGCACTGGTGAGGTCCCTCAGCCTGGCCTGTGCCCTCTCGCAATCCAGGACCCCTTGGGGGATGTCAGACTGCCAGTTTCAGCCCAATCCGGCAGCCTAACATCTCCCAAGGGAT